GCCGCGGAGGGCCCCGACCTCCTGCGGAAGCTCCGGGGCGAGCACATCGACTGGGACGCCTTCCGCGAGGCGCGCTGGCCCAAGGCCCGGTGCCAAGGGTGCCTGGAGCTCAAAAGTTTGGACCTCTTCGCGCACGCGCAGTGGGAAAAGATCCGGGCCAACCTTGAAGCCACCTGCCTGGCCTGCCAGCGAAAGAACAAGGACGGGAAGAGGCCGCGGAAGAGGAGCTTCAACGCCCAGACCGCCGCGCTGAAGAGCATCGAGTGCAGCAGCTGCAAGGTGACCAAGATCGAGGAGGCCTTCCCGCGAGCCCAGCTGGCGCAGAAGGACGCGGAGAAGAAGCGCCAGTGCTCGGCCTGCCGCCGCGCCCTGAGCGAGCTTACCTGCACCGTGTGCCGAACCCGAAAGCCTGCGGGGGAGTTCGCGCCCAGCATGTGCACGATGCCGGACAACGCCTTGGCCTGCCTGGCCTGCCAGCAGCAAAAAAAAGGCAAACACAATTTCTACCGGACAGGCTGGTTCTATTGCAAGGGGTGCCAGCAAAGCTTCCCCGAAGCGGCAGCGGGCACCGCCACCTGGCAGAACTGCCTCAACTGCTCCATGCGCTCAACCCGGCAACCTGGATGGCAGACCTGCATCAATCGCAAGTGCAAGAAGCGCTTCCAGGGCACGCAAAGGGGACTGTGCCCGGACTGTGCACATCGAGCACGACCGCAGATGCGCTGGAAAAAGAAGCAACAGTGAGAGGCCCCGCAATATTATGTACAGCTCCAACTGCATCGACCCAATGGACGACGCTGCAGTGAGCCGACAGCCGCAGGCAGTTCCAGTCGCGCAATGTATCATAGCAGCTAGCTGAGGACCAGAGAAAAATAGCACAGCACGCAAGGCAACGCTAAGGAGTAGAAATCTTCGCAGCTGCGCCCGGCGCGGTCACACCAGACGTCTCACCCGCGCAGCCGCGGCCTAGCAGCACAGACGCTGAAGGCAGCCCCGAGCGCAGCCCAGCGAACTAGGCCAGGAAGCGCCCAGAAAAGGAGGTGCCCACCTGCATGCTCGTTGCACATTGC